GTAGATGCATTTTCATGTAATAAACAAGATAATCAAGCATGGATATGGAATTCCGTTGATGGAACTATTCAAAGTAAACATAATGGTGCATGTTTAACCTGGAAAGCAGAGCTTGAAATATGGGCAGGTCCACTTTCAGATGGTTCACAAGCTGTAGTTTTACTCAATCGTGGTAATTTCGGAAGTGAAACAATAACAGTGAAATGGAGTGATATTGGATTTCCTGTTGATCATTCAGCTGTAGTTCGTGATTTGTGGGCTCGAAAAGATCTTGGAACATTTACTGGTAGTTATACATCACCAAAGATAGATCATCATGCTGTAATGATGTTAAAAATTACTCTGATGTAGTCGATATAAATACTTCATAAACTTAATACAAGGACCATTTATTTTAACTTTGTGACTGCTAATTTATTGTAGTTTTTTTAATGGATGCAGTAATTTTTAATAATTTGGTAGATACTTGAGTGTATTGCTATGTTTAGTAGCCTTTTTGTATTATCATTTTTATTACTGGAGCAATACTTCATGAGTTTTCATTCAGTTAATTTTTCTTCTGATGCACATCTTTGAAGAAAATGAATACAAGGGTTTGCTAGAAAGTTTCAGCAGAAGAACAAGATTTGTCGAGTAAAATAAAGTTCTGCAATAAGCTAAATCTTAGTCGATGAACGGCATCGTGTAAACAGTAAAGTTGGCAATCAAATCATTAGTTTTAGATGAAGAAAATTTTTCTAATGGAGTATAGTAATAGAGAAAGATGGCAAGGCTTTCTCTATGTCATATCAAAAAGTAAAAGCATGTCACATTATCATACATGGCTTTGGCTAGTAGTATTTAAACGAATAGTATCTTCTCTTTCATGGTTGTTTGGATCACAAGCAATGAAATCACTTTTATGAATGCTAACATTCGATAATGCCATACTTATCGTTTATCGTAATAATATCTGTGTAATTTTAAAATTCTTCAACAACAACATTTTAAAAAGTGTTGAATAGTATTGAGAGCACATATAATTAATAGACCTGATTAGTTAATGAAATTGCACTTCGTTTGCATAGATGAATCTTCAAGATATGTAAAATCAATGATGCCTTTAAATTCATTCATTAGAGAAATGAGCATGATGAGAATAAAGTAATCCGCATTGCTCTATAATAAAAACATATGCACATAAGACATGTATTATCAATGGTATATTTAATCATAAATTCTATTGATGTTCTCATTTTTATTATAAATTATACTTTTTCATCAAAAGAATGGTCATATAAATTGATAATCGATTTCACTTTGATCGAACCATTGTTCGATCTTATGACCAATATTTGTCAATAGCAAATCAAAGTATCGTCTAGATAAAAATTTCTGTGAGTAGATTTGTTTTAATTTGCATTAATTAACATATCATATGCTTTTTCTAACTATTAGAAAAACAAATTCGAAAGATATTCAGATAATTTTCCTGGACGATACGATAACAACTAATTGAAATATAAGTATATACATGATTTCATAAGCGCCGCAGGTGATCAAGCACTCCCTACTGTTATCATATGTAATCAATTTTTTTTAATGAAAGTTATTTTTTTCTTTATGTTTCATTCTCGATTTTAACTTGTTTCTATGTGAAAGAAAGAGACAAGAAACATCAACATTGAATATAATACGTGGTCAAACTATGCAACATTATTCAACAGTGACTAAGTTAATTCATTATACTTCAAAATTTACATCTAGTAGTGATAGACAACTATCAAGACAAAATTCATCAGTCAGAAATCAACGATTATCGTCAAGTTCTGATTCAATGGATAGGTTTGTATTTATAGGGAAAGTTTGATTTTTCTTATAATGAGGGACGATTCTTTCAAAAAGAAATCGTTGATAAGTTTCTTTATGATTTTAAAATCCTTTTAATAATATGCTTCAAGTAACTCCTCAGTTAAAAAAAAAATAAGAGCCGGCTCAGTTCGACTATGGTCGATTTCGATTGGAACTAGAAAAAAGTGACCATCGATTTTCTACTTTCAAGTTTCTACCAGTTTTCAGCCGGAAACGGAGGTGTATTTTCGACAGTTTGTCGCCGGAAATGCACAGATTCGAGTGCTGGGATTATCGACTTGAGTCGCTTTAAAAATCGATTTATGAAATGAATAGTGATTATAAACATTCACTAAATTAAATAGATTCTTTTAGTATATTGAATTAAGCTGTTTTTTTTTTATGCTGAGCAGTGCCCTCTATTCTCAACGTTAATGTCAAAATTGATATGATATTTGAGGATATCGTCTTATCTATCTCACTAAAAATGGTAGTAATCATAGTGTTGTCCTTCTGAAAGTTAAGTATCTAAAATGAATTTGTTCTAATTCTAAAACGAAACAATGCATTAAAAATGAGTTCTACTGTATCATCAAAAATTATCGGTGATAATCGTTTACTTAATACACGAAGATCAAGGTTGTTATTTTTTCGGAACTCTTTTTTGTTCTATTCATTGACTCTCATTTCTACTGCTTAGATTAATCGACAATAGACGGTTTCGTTTGGCACCAATATGGCCCGAATGGAATGAAGCAGAGATAAATATTGAATCATGGGATGCTGGAAATGTAAAGAAAAAAGATATAGTTGTAGTTAGAGCTCGTCCTGATTTAAAAACAAATATTTCAGTGGTAAAATAATACATTAAACGTTCTATTGACTATATGGATCATATTTTAAGTCTGCACATGGTTTTGAAGATCCTGAAGGTAAAGTTGAGCTTCCTCCATCATTCAAAGTAGAACAATGGAAACGGCCAATCGAGTTTTTGGTAGCCGATAAGGTAATAAAAAGTTTCCTGTTTAAAATAGTACAATTTATTGAATATATATATGTAATAGTCTCCAGTAATTGTTGATCCTGATGTTGGCATTCAAAATTTTGATTTAGTTACACCAAATGAACATTTACATCACAGTGAAGTAAAATTTTATAGAATTCGTTTTTTTTTAACTCACTCATATTTTCTTTAATAAAGACAATGCGCAAAATTATTAGTGAAATTACAGCTCTGTGGGATATTTGTCGAAAAGAACGAAAAAATATTAGTACAACAACATATAATATTCATGAATTTAATATAACTGAAAGAACATGGCGTCCTTGGGTTTGTACTTATCTTTATTCAATGTATAAATCATTTCTTTTTTCTTTACATCAGGAACATATATATGCATTGAATAAAGTATCTAAACAACCGTTTATTACTCCGTACAATCCTTCTGGCAAATATATCGTTCGACTTTTCTTTTTGGTTTGTATTCTAAGAAAAAATTTGAAATTAGTTGTGTGTTTTTTTTCCTTGAATTTAATAATCAGGGTACTTGGCGTAAGATTATTATTGATGATACTATTCCATTTGATTCTAAAAATCGATGTCTTCTACCACAAACATCATTATCATATGAACTTTGGCCAATGCTTTTATCAAAAGCTTTATTAAAAATAATTTCTCTTGAGTAAAAAGAATAACAAACATGTATTTTTTATTCATCCCTAAAAAAAACGTTGCTTTTCTTCAATAATAGTTTCAATGCATCAAATGATTTTCCTGAATCTAATGAAGCCTCAGTTATTCATTCACTTACTGGTTGGATACCAGAACCTATTCCTCTTAAGTAACAAAAAAAAATAAATTAAAGAAAGAAAGATGAATATGAAATTGTCTATTCATAGATATACTCATGCTGGAAAAGTATGGGATTTTCTTCGTTATGATCGTTCTAATCAATTCGTTGGTGTAAATGACAATGTAATAAATAAAAACGTATCATCTTTTGGACCTATACCATTATTCAAATGGCCTGATTCAAAAGTTCATCTACAGGAAGAAACAATATCAATGAATGGAAATGTAAATTAGCTTCTTTTGTTGTTATATATTCTCTAGTTATTTTTCATTTCTAAAAACACAAGGATCCATCAGATCATTTCGATGATAAAAAGCTAGAGGATAAAAATTTAAAAATACGAGGATCATCTCTTACTCTAACTACTTCAAAAGATCCGACAGTAATTAAATCGATTAATTACAAAGAAAATCGAGCAGGTAAGATCTTTTAATCATTTGAATACAATAAATCTTGTTTCAGTCAGTAGTCCAAATCTTAAAACTCCAAATGATACAAAAAAATTAATCGGAACAAGTCGTGCAGGTCCAATAGAAGATTCTGGATTTTTTATCGATGATCAAATGATTCCTGAAGCACCAAAAATGCTTGTTTTCGCTACTATACCTCACTTACAACCAACACGTATTAGTTCATATAGTGAAACAGCTGATAGAAGTGAACGATTAAGACATTATAATTTAAATGATACATTCTCAACATCAGTGCTACTAACGTCTATTCGAGATATTCCATTGGAACCACCGCCCCCACCAGAATATGTACCTCCTTGGAAACTTATTCGACCAAAAAAACCTATCGTATTACCTCATGCTGAACCTATAAGTGAATATAATATTTAAAAAATAAATTTTTGAATTATTAAAATTTTTCTTTTAGTTCCACATGAATCTAAACCTGAACGTTGGATTGAAATTACTTCACCTTATATAAATTATTCAATAGCAAGTGCTCTTAATATGTAAATTTATATTTTTCATCTCTTAGTTTTATTTACATATCTATCTCTTACATAGAAAAACAACAACTCAATCTCATCCGATTGATCATAATATTACGTAAGAAATTTTTACTTTTGTTTTTAAATATGATGAATATCGATTTATGTATAGAATCGTCAATACATCTTCACGTTTACATCGTACCGCGAAACATTTAGCTGTACCTGGTCAATCAAATATTATTGAAATAGATGAAGATATTGAAAATGAAAAACTAAAACCCGAACAAACCATGGAATTCGTTCGAAGTACAACAAATATAAGTTCAACATCAATAAGGAAAGAGGTGAATGTTCATTTTTTACAAATTTTAATTAAAAAAGAAAAGAAATTTTAAATGCTTCTAGTCACATGTAATTGACACTCACGACAAATCTGATGATTCGGTACGTAGTACAGGGAGCAAACACAAATACGAAATACCAATTGATAAAATTAAAGTAAATTCAAACACTATTCTTTTTTTATAAACAAATCACCTTAAAATCTAAATAGACTCCTCGAAAATCTGCTGCAAGTGGTATAAAAATACCATCTGATACTGTATCAACGAAAAGCAAAGGTTATAACTAAGTAAAAAGATTTATTAGAGCAGCTCGTTTGAGACTCAAATGTGAAGCTCACATGTGTTGCATAGCCTTGCTCTACTAATACAAAATACGTAAAGTGAAATATCTTTAGTATAGTTGTTTTGCAAGAATAATCGATTGCCAGTGAAGCGATCTATTCTATATTGAGACTCTAGCTTTATTTGCTCTGCTGTTATTTCTGCTTTGCTTTTCATTTTTCTTAATCCTTTAATCACGAGACTTCTGCGTAGATGACAAAAAAAATGTGAGTTTGCTCATAGAAGTCCGGAAATGAGTATATACGTCAAAGGAGCACAGTTAATTGCATTGGGCTTCAAACAGGACTATATTATTTAGTATTTGTTGAGTGAAAGAGAGTTTCCTGAAACCTTGTAAAATCCTTTGCATAGTTCCATGAATAACTCTATGGTTCAATATTATAATTTAGATTTGATTAAATTTAAACGTTTGGTCTTGTGTAAGATTAGAGCTTGAGTGTTAATTAAAATTTTTCGAGAAAACAATTCTTTTAGAATTCGACACAATTATGCGGAGTTCTGCTTGGTTTCATAGGATTTTGAACGATTTTAGGCATTAAGAATTTATGAATTCTTATAGACCTCTAAATCCACGATTATTTCCTGTCTACTTGATATATATGTACAGTGATCTTATATAATGATGCTTTGATACTAAAAGCATACAGAAAAGAGAATACTCTATGATCGAAGAAAGTAAGAAGATTAAAAAAGTTATAATCTATGTAAAGAAGCTCAATCTGTATAAATAGGTTACGTAATCAAAGGGTTAATTTAACATTATTATTATTATTATAACTCTCGATAAACTCAGAGATGCTAATGTTGATTGTTTCCCAGGGTTATAACTTCATCAGTTCACTGTTTTTATGTTGTTCACATGACGACTGTAGCAAATCAATGCATCATTATTCATCATTCTTGACATCTTGAATATGAATTTTTATTTGCTCAAAAATAAAAAAAAATGTACTATTTAGAACATTTACACAGGTATTTCAATCATTCAAACTTCGAGAGAGATTTTCAAATATTCTAGAATAATTTATGTCTAGTTTTTAATACTGTTCAGTGCATTTTACACTTTCTAAAGAGCTTTGAAGATGGAACTTGACGCCTGTTTTCTCGGATTGCTATACGAGAGCTAATAAACCTTGACTTAAAACTTACATTGACTAAATTTTTCCTTTATAAAGACATGATGTGAATTCCTCAAAATAAATCATAGCGTTTATTTGATAAATTTTTAGGTGGTGAAAATGAACACATTACAATACCAATCGACGTACAATCGACAGGAAACAATAATGAACAACAAAATTATTCATTAAGTAATCTAAAATCAATAAAAAAACCATATAAAACACCAAAAATATGGATGGATTTTGATGATTTTTGTGCTTGTTTTACGTCAGTTGAAAATAATCTTCTTCTCTTTAATTAATTTGTGATCTTTTCATCTTAAATATTTTAGTTCAATTATTGTTTTCCATAATCCTCGTGGTTATCACTATGCACATAAGCATACAGAAATAAAAGTAAAAAAAAATATTGGTTTTTTTTACTAATTGATTAGTATAAATTGATTCTTTTAGTTTGCTCCATATCAACAAGTAATAATTAGAATATTCTCAATTTTATTGTTTTATTCGTAAGTTAATATTCCTTTTTTTAGCCAGTGATTACTTCTCTAAAAGAAAAGAAAAAAGAACCTAATCAATCAACTGTTCAAATACCAGTAAACTATTTTTCTGTCATTATTAATCTTATATTTCAATTTGAATAGAATCTGCAAGATGATAAACCTTCATTATATTTATTTGTTGATAGTACACGTGACATATTAGATAAAAATATTCAGCTAATTATTAGTTTAACATGTTTGTCACGATGGTATGATACTGTACTACCTGAATTTGTTGGATTGAATGAAAAAAGTTTTCGTAATACAAATGTATACACTGAAAAAACTTCAATTGATGTTAATCAAGCAAGAAACTCAGGTCATTAACAGCGAATTAATACTAACTGATGTACAAAGAATTGTTTTATTAATATTTTCAAAATTTTTGTCTTTTGTTCATTTAATTGAAACACATGTTGTAATCAAAAAATTCTCATTGAAGTTTTCCATAAAATAATACATTCTTTTTAAGGAATGTAGTCTTCTTACGTTATAAATCACATCAATTAAAACGAGTTTCGAGAGATATGACCAAAAAAATGATATTCGTCGGCTGAGTTAAGCAAAACACAAATATTCAAGGCTTGTTTATATTAATGTGAATAAGCTCTGAAATAGTTTTCTAGAAGTCAGAACAAAAACTAGAATTACAAAAACTTGGTCCCGTACATCTCTAGTCTGGATACTACTTTCGAATGAAGTACTGATTATAAAGTCTAGCAACATTCTATTAAAATCTAGGTCGTAAAATGAGCTCTATTTTTCTATGGAAAAGGTGTCATACTTGGTTACTTGATTAGTGACAAATTTAGAAGAGTGAAGCACAGGATGTCAGTTTCTTCCTTCCAAAATCCTCCTTTCAATGTTTCTCAGCACAAAATGTCTAAAAACTATTCGATACTACCTAGCTTGGACTTCAAAACACTTATTCTTGACTACGATCGCCTCTGCTTATCAGAATCTTCGATGCGTCGCTGTCCATGATCTAATCATGTAGAAAGCGGCCGAGATTTTTATGCAACATCAACTGTACACTTGTAGTTTCAGCAGGAAACATTGTTGTTAATAACCATTTCGTCTGATGAGGAAAGCTCTTCAACCGTTCAGTCGCTTATGAGTTATGAATATTCTGGCAAGAGTTTATACCCTTAGCTTATTGCTACGGAAATACTTAGCTTTTATGGTATTTTTTTGAATAAATGTCGTGGTGCAGAAAAACTGATTCTCAAATTTCGACTTGCAATTTTGTGTAAAGATAAGCCTTAGCGAGAGTAGTTTCAGATCTTTTGGTTTGCATCAATTAGGACACAAGAACAGTAGATCTCCTGATTTATATGCGTGATGTAAAAAATAGGTTATTATCATAGTTGAGTCTTAGCATAGGAGTAACAACAAGATCTGAAACATCCACAATACACTATTCTTGGTAAGGCTTATCTCTATTCAAAATTTCAAGTCGAAATACAATAATCATTTTTTCTGACCCATGACGCTTATATATTTTTGTAGTGATAAACTAAGAGTAAGAACTTTTTTAAAGGTATTCATAGCTCATTTGGATTTGTATAATAAAATTAAGAATCATTTGTTTTTAATGACACGATCTTCATTAAATTACAAGAGATTTTCACTGATTCATCATAACTATCATTCTAAATGTTTAGAATTGTTGACTCTTTCTAATTTTTTTTTTAAACATATCCGGAACAATTTTTTGATTGAATCATATACAAATATTCTATGAGTTTTGCATGTGATCTTTTGATTAATAAAAAGAATTCTTCAATGAAATGAATAATAGAAAAGTAAATTTTCAAAAATATTAACAAGGCACTTCTTTATGGAGCAATCGTTACAAACTAAGAAGTATAAAGATATTGTTTGTTTTTAGTATCACAAAAAGAGATTCTACCACAAGCAGGTTCACTCATAGCTGAGTTGTATTCATGGAAATCACTTAGAATGGGACAACCTATTCTTCGTCTTCATACAACAGCAACGAAAGCTGCTTTACTAACATTATCACCTGGGTAAACATTTTCTAAATCAAATTTCTGTTTTTTTGTAAATTAATTTTTATAAAAATTTTAGTCGTCATGTATTAAAACTTACTGATACATGTCCATTTGCTTGTAACGTGCAAATATTATCTGATACAAATGATTTTATGCTTGCTGATGAAGATCAATTATTAAATAAAATTACTTTTATGCCTGTGAAAAAAAAACTTTTTCTATTAATATTTCAATTTTATTTTATGTATTATTTTCTAGGAAGATGCTGATTTTATACTACGAGCTGAAGAATTATTTCTAGCACTAGATGATTCTATACAAAATTTTCATTTGATTGGTCAACAAGAAAATAAATTATATGATCTTCTTAGTTTATATTGTGAAAATGCACCAAAATCACTTGATCTTACTATTCAAACATGTTTTAATATATTTAATCAAGCATTATATTCCACTTTACGAACCGTTCTTACTGTATCTGGATCAGGAATTAGTGTAGATACACAATTTGCTTGGCGATGTTTTACGAATGATCTTGCAACACCAGATATTTTGTCTGCTTATGAAACAAAACGTCCAAGTATGAGATTATTTGACAGTCACATGATTGACGATGATGCTCTTCATAATATTGCCTTCTAGCATTGAATATTAGAACAGTAGATGAGAATTTAATCATTGTCTAGAAAATCTAGGACTAACCTATTCGAGGTTTATGAGGTTTTCTTACCAAATAAGTAATAGTTTCCATGTTTAATAAAGATGAAAAAGAGTAAGGATTTGTCCTTTGAGCATAATAGGGCTATGCTACATACTGTCGAAAAATTCATGGCTGATAGCACTTTGTATTGTCTACAAACAAGGTATCCATCGAACCCGAATTTTGAAGTTTGGTCTTACGAAAGAAAATGTACCAATATGACACATCAATGGAACTAATAGTTCACCCATAAGTAGATCTCGACAAGACTAGTAAAAATCTATAGAAGTTTGTCCCCATGAGTTATCTTATCTGAATTATAATAATGTTGCCGAATTTTTCATCTCTGAAAAGATATATGTGAAATAATTGAAATATGAAATTTAAATCTGAAATTTTGCCCATAGATCAGTCTCGTAGATGTCAAAATGTCTTAAAAATTTCAGTTTAAAGGATTGTGTTATTTTTGAAATATTAACATATACTTTATGGTAAAATTTTGAAAAGATTCTAATGTCTACGATACCTATTCATTGACAAAATATCAGTTCTACAGGCAAGTCATACTTGGAGACTTTACCTCTCGAGCTGCAACTATTTTCTGTTAATTATTAAAAGAAGATAGACATAAGCAAATAGACAAGATTTAAGAGTGAGCTACGATAGATCTGCACAGAGTAAAATAAATGATATGAAACACTGATGGGTTATAGATATTCCGAAAGAAGCCAATGGTATTCAGAAAAAAACCGAACTCGAACTTGGCAGATCCTTAGGGTACTTCCATGATTGCCCCATATGCTTCGAGAAATATTTGAGCAAGAGACTCTAAATATTTGACGCTATCAAAATTGATTGAATATTTCTCGAATTTGAACTGCTCATTCTAAATAATAAGTCAGGACTCAGGTTGGATGCATGCTGACTACGAACAATCAGTCATGGATTATATAAATTCTTATCGAGTTGATCAGTTTCAAATCAATCAGCATGTATTTCCATTAGACATGAATAAACTAAGTCCGATTCCGTCGGATTGAAGATCGAGACTAAAATAAGTATTTGTGTCGCTGTTTCATTGAACATCTGATAAGGAAGTCATTAGTAACTAAACTGATAGTAATATAACACCAAAATATTTCAAATTTATAGATAATAGGAGAGAAGAGCTTTTAAGTGTAACTAACAAAGTTTTAGCTAAATACTGGACAAGAGTTGAATCTCTTTTTGACCGAAATGGTAACTTTAACATAAGTGTAATCTACATTCTAGGAATTATGAGAAAAAAAAAATATTCTCTTAAAAATATTTTCTCTAGTTGTTAGAAGTCTCAGCCGTCATTCAGCACGAACTGCTGGAAATTCTTCTGCAAGTACAGGAACACCTACTACAAGTAAAAGAAGTACTGGAGGACGAGAGAAAAATGTGGACGATAGGTCTAGTTCAAAACAACAATTTTCATTGACGAATTCACCATCAACATCAGATATACAAGGTAATCTTCAGGTTTAATTAATAATCAAATTAAAAGTTGAAAATTTTAGAAGAAGCTTTGTCTGATTTGTTAACACATGAATTAAACGAAAGTGAAATAGCAGCTATTACGAATATTCAAAAAAGTATTCGAGGATTTTTACAACGTCGTATTGCACTTGCTCGTACATCTGGTACGGAAAAAAATTTATTTATTCAACAAATATTACAATCAAGCATGTCGTTACTTAAAGTTGATCAAAATAAATCAGCTTTACTTCTTTTTAAGTAATTCGTTTGTTTTGTTTTGTTTTTTTCATTTGAATTTCAATGCTATTTTGCATATTCTCATAACAGAAATTTCATATCAATCAAACCTGAATTAGTTCAATGTTTTACATTTGGTGATGATGATTGGAATATGGTCACATATCGAGATTATAATGGAATATATCAAGAACAATCAGCAAATAAGTGGTTTGTTTTATTTCGGTAGAGAAAAAGCAGTCCATTTATTATATCTTAAAAGGAAGGAAAATTATATCGTTGTTTTAGAGAAATTTTTTATATTAATGAAGAGTGTTTCATCGCTGCTAAATTTCTTTCACATTTACCAAACACACTTTTACGTGTAATCAATAATGATACATATAATGAAATGCCATTGGTATTCAATCGATTACGACCAGGAATCTTTACTAAAAATAAAGTGAATTGCCTATCTTTGACAGAAAAAAAAATCTGGAAATCGTTTTTTTTTATTTTGAATTAATAGAATGGTTACACATTTTTTGCTGAAGGAATATCGCTTGATCAATTAATACCAAGTGATCGTTTTCGTCTTCGTTTAATAACATCATATACACAGTTACCTGAAATGCGTACTGATCAAATAACATCATCATTTATTACAAAAGATATTACAGATTATTATATTCCAAATAAAGACCAAATTATATGCAGGTTAAATATATGTTTTAATTAGCATTATTATAAACTAGTTCGTTTCTTTAGATATCACATTATTACTTCTGATAATATTAATCAAACTGGTCTAAATTATCATTTAGCTAGTATTCATTTTAGTACATCAAAGTCGGATGTTTTAATGCGTTTAACGGTCTTAGATAATAACGAAGAAATAGTTAGTGTTGAAGGAAAAGGATGCGTTGTTTTACCTGCAGTACTTTTTATGCGTACAATTACCAATGTAGTACAACCGCCACCTGTATCAAAGCCAAACTCAAGAACGACAGGAGGTTAATGCTTTAAATGACTTAAGTTTGTTCATTATTTTTGTCAGTTTAGGATCACGTAAAAAAGATTTAAACAATACTCATCAAGGAAATGTTGCTGATTTAACAACAATAAATAGCGCCCGATCAGACAAAGATAGAATTGGGAATGGAATGAGAAATGTATGTTAAATTTATTGCTAGCGAACGTTTTTGTTTAAAAAAAATACTTCTAAATTGTTATTTAAGAGATCAAGCAGTCGAGACGGATTAACAATCGTAGACGAAGAAGAAAAAGTAAAGATATATGTAAATCATCATCTATATGACTTCTTTTTAGTTACATAAATATATTATTCAAGTAACACTTCTTCGTAAGTCCTGGCCATTAACAGCAAATCAATGGCAATTTGTTGAACAACTTAAAGAACAAGAAAAAAATGAATTAAAAGGTAAGGAAAAGAAAATTTCGTTTATGATTTCCAATTAAAATATGAATTAATTAATAAAATAGTTTTTAATCGACAATTATCAGCAAATAAAATTGATCGACCAATTAGCGAATCAACAAGTAGCAAACGAACAGGACAAGCAAGTTCTACCGCATCGACAACAAGCAGTCGGACAAAAAGTAGTACTGCTGGGAGTGGTAGAACTAGTACGACATCATTAAGTCGACCGAAATCGTTAAAAGAAAATATAGAAACAACGATTGATACAAGTAAACCTCATTGGATATTACGAATAGTATCCGATGCAGATAAAGCTGTATGAAAATTGAAAATATATATAAAAAGACTAAAATTTATTTTGCTTTTGTTTTTGTCAAGGATGAATTAACAATTAAAAAAGACACTGAACGAAATGAAGAATTAATGAATATAAAAAAAGCATGGGAAACATTACAAGTTGGTCGAGCTGAAAAAGCAATGGAATCGAGACAAAAATTCCTTGATTCTTCACAATTAAAAGTTGACGAAGTTTCATTAGTTGAAACAACTGATGATACAACAAATGTTTCAGAAATTCGTACTGATGAAGAAACAACTAGTACAATTAATTCTTCAATTTTAGGACAACAACAAATTATCAAACAAACTCCAACAACAAAGAAAAGCTTTTTATTCATGAAAAAAGGATCCGTTAAAGAAGAAACTATGAAAAAAACTGAATTAATTTCACCATCTCTTTCATCATCACCACAAATCGATGAACCTCTTCTAGATGAACCACCACCAAGCAAGCCTAAAATTATTTTAACACCATTAGATTTAAAACCTTTTCTCAAGTAATCTGATGTCTTAATAATACCGAACGAAGGTGTATATATTCTCGTTTGTTTTCAGACAAAAACTGCTTTCTGATGAGCCAATTATATCTGATTCATTATTTGAACAAGAAGATTTACAACGTCGACAAAGTAATTTCACTGAATATTCGAAACATGCTGATGAAATTCGTCAACTTCGTCAAGAAGATCAAAATAATCGATATAAAGAAAAACTTCGTCAATTAGACGAATATGTTAGTTTGCAAGCTAAAACTGATCAAATTCGTCGAACAATTAATGAACCACGTGAAGCATTTCGACAACGATTTCTTGAAATTGAACGTATACGTCTACAAGAAGTTGCTGCTCAAGAAAAAAAATTATTCGATGAAGAAAAAGCAAGATTAGCAGCTATGATTAAACCAGTTAAAAAAAAAACTTCACCTGGAAAAAAGAAAAAGAAATAATTTCATTAATATTCATAAACCATATATTACGACAACTTGTTTTTTTTAATAATATTCAAATGCAAAAAAAAAACATTACGCGAAAAACTTTTCAAAATATAAATGCGTTCTTACAGTGAATTTCCAATATCTTAATCAGATATTATTTTAAACATTAATCATGAAATCCTCCAATATTGTTCAGATCTATATTAGATTATAAATATTTTTTCATTAGACCGTTCTCCCCAATAGAAGATGCCGGATTTATTATGATATCTAAGAATACAAATTTTTCAGAAGAACTTTCTATTGTGCTCCCATGCATCATTGAAGTAGAAAAGTTTTTTCAAAAAACTAAAACCCTTTTGACAATATGAGTATCGATTCTTAAAAACTCAAATATAATTTTAACTTCAGTTTTTAACATTTTCAGCTCTGAATTCTGAAAACTAGACATATATTGCTATAAATATTTAAAGTTTTTGAGAAATTGAGTCATTAGGTAGAGTCTTCTATTACACTGAATACGCGTCATTCCTTCAAGGTCAATCTTAATTTGCAAAGACTATGGTTTGAGTATAACTCAACAATAATAAATATTATTGAAAATAGTTGATCTGTATCTTCAATAAGCAGCAGTAATCAAGTGATGTACTTTCTTGGTGCAATTTCTCAACCTTGTTTCATATGTATAATAAATAAATAGATCGTTTATCGACAATAGTAAATATACATATATATAGAAGCAAACAAAAAAAAACTCGAAGGTACTACTATGAACAAATATTACTCTTTGATGTTTGGTATTATAATTGTTTGCTTATGCTTAATGCTATGAATAATCGAGTAGTTTTATATTTATCGTTTTTTTTTTATTTGATATCGTCTTACTGTATTCAGTATTCAATATTGATAGATTCTAATATCTATCATAGAATTCACGCATGTTTTCTAATAAAAATTAAATAAAAAAAAATATTTGTAGCCCTTTCATTTATATGTCAAAACATGTGTTCTCTGACCAAACCTTTTCAAGTTAAAAATGAATTCTTTATTATTCAAATATTTCATAAATAATTATTAGTTTTGGTCGATCATATTTCATCATTCTACTTATGATCAATTTTAAGCATATTATTCATGTTAATAAATAACTCTTACAATACATGCGTCTCTTCTCCTTGTGATTTGATATCAAACTCAATGCCTCTTTCAGCTTATATTACTCATCTTCTTCCTATGTCTAAATGTCAAAAAAAAACATACAACTATTTAGTTAGAGAAAAAGAAAAAGGTCTTGTCTCAACTTGATTTCGATTCATACACACATTATGAAAAAGTAATTTTTGATCAGTAGGTGGTAGCCACCTTCTACACTAAGCAAAACGTCCATAATTGCGAGGAAAAAAAATTCTTTCTTTTTTCATTTGATGCACTCTTATGTTTACTTATTAATTAAAGCAGTTCGATGATATGAAAAAATTTCTAATGATTAATACATATATCGACAACGTCAATTTTTCAATCCGTTCCTTTTAATTCATTTTCTCTTCTTGATTCATTGCCTTGAACCATATACGTAAGCATAATAGCAAGGGATTTTAGTCGTAGTTTGTCATACAAATGTCGCCTGCAATCAAGCGAACAGAATCGATGCTTTAAAGTGCATATATAGATTGCATGAATGTAGGTGTACGTTAAGTCAACAACTATTATATATCGTTGAAACTAATCATTAGATATTGGTTATCGTAATTTTTTTTCTTACTTTCTTTATCATACAAAACAAAGATGGATATCTCACACTAAACTGTAAACCGATTTAATAAGATCAAATTTCCTTTTCAGTATTAAACAAAAACTATTCATTGCCTTTAGCAATGTCGTTTGTTGTTATTATGATATCTAGTTTACTTCATTTATAGGTAATATATATAACAGTCATCACTAAAGAATGTGAGTTATAAAAAATTATAATGTTGTTGTTGTCGTTGTAAAAAAAAATGACATGGTATGCCTATATGAGTAGAAGAAACATATAGAAATACTTCTTTTATTATCAACATGGTTGAAGTGGAATAAGCAGTAATTCAAAACCATGCACATATATTCTTTTTTTTTCTATGCCTAATTCGATACATTTTTATTCATCATGTGTAAAAATTATTCAGAAAGTAGGCGGTAATAAGACTTAAATGATTGAAAAAGAATTCTATAGATTAACATTTTAGTTTTACTCACACGTTAATATTAACGAAAAAAAGAAATTATTGAAGGTCACACAGAAAACAAAGATTTGTATAGTAGTATGAAGAATTTTGCTATCATAGGTATTCAGTTATAAAAGTGAATAAAACAACACTTGTGGATGCAAGACGACGAAAAAGAAATATAGATGATCATAATCAAACAAAGTAATTGATATATATACATATATTCAATCGTTTTTGAACTGTTTGATCAATAGAATTCAATCCTGTTAAAGAGGAATCATATTTTATCAACTTGCTTTCTTTGTATTCGCTTCCGTTTTTTTATTTTTTTTTTCTTCTTTTCTCTCCCCTTTTTCTTGAGCTGTAAATATATATAAATATAAAATTAAACGCAAAAGAGAGAGAGAGAGAAAAAACGAAGAGGAGGAGAGATTATAAGGCGAAATATTTCATCGAACAGTATAGCATAAAATTTAAAAAAAGAAAAACGAACGACATCGTTTGTCATCATAATGTGGGCAAATCACTTATCCTCACTAAGAGAAAAGTGCTTATACGTGTTTAATTATAGACATTAAATATATGTTCATATTCAAGTATAAGTAAACATAATCTATATGTATTTATATTTAAGAATTTTCTTTCTATTATTCATTATAATAGATAAAAATCTATTATTCCTATAAGAAATGTCTTCAGGTACATTTTCTAAACAAAATTCATCTCCTGGCCCAACACGTCGTACTCGAACAAGAAACGAATATAATGAGAATAATCCACAACATAATGCTAATCATCGTAGTTTAAGTGGTAAATTTCGAAATTTATTTCGAAAGAGTTCTTCATCACCTAATCGTACAACGAATAATACTGAACGTCCACCACTTGCACCAGCACGTCAACGGTCTCAATCACCACAAGTTAAATCAGCATCCACGGAAGCACCTCATTTACGAGCACCTCTTGTTAGTTGGCCATTTGGAAAAAAAAGAGCAAAATCACCAGCAACAACAAATGGTAAAACGAAAACAAAAGGTGGTCGTAAAACTAAAAAAACAACAGTACCACCGTTGGAAATCTCCAATCCGATCTATCAACAAGAATATCAAACATCAATACATGGTCAAAATTTTGTTCCAAGAACTCCAGAACTTTCACATGGTAGTACTGGAAGAACTCATTCATCATCAAATTACGAAACAACAACAAAAGGTTTTCGTGATTATATGGTTATTGATAATACAAAACCGTCTCAACAGGTAAAGTCATCAGTTGATAAACTGGTTATTTTTTTTCATAGGATTATCTTTCATTCGTATGAGAAATAAAATTAATAATCAATAACCATTGTTTGTCGATGTAATATCAAATATATATTGTTTGTCAATGTCTTTCGATTCTCTGAAATTGATCTTTGGACATGATATTTGCTCAGATAATCGATTATTGCAAGAAAAAAAAATCTACTTATAAATTGAAAGAGAGAGGGAATTGTTTAGATGAAAAAAACAAATTCATCTGTTTATTTAGTACAAATTATAAGAATATACAACCATTTAAAAATAAAAACTTTTTTGAAAGAAAATTTATATTCACATTGAATGTTTTTTTGGTCTCAGGTAATCGTACATGATGCCGATATTATTACACCACCACCATATTCGTCGAATCGCAGTCGTTCACCATCACTGAGTCATAATCGTTTACCTGATACAACTATTCAATATCCTTATCATAATGATATTTCATCATCACCAAGATCAGATATTGAAGTCTTTCATACACCAAAGCATCGACATAAAGTCGATGATACTCCATCATTAACAGCTATTCAAACCTTAGTCGATAAAACTCCATCACGTCCTCAAACTTCAAATTATTCACCATCAAAGCAACGAAGAAAAGTGAATGAGACTCAATCGTTTGTTACTGATCAAAGTTTAGTCGAGAATACTCCCATACTTTTTCCAACAATAACACAATCACCAAAATCAACTATGCATTCTAATCAATGGAAGAGTATGTCATCGTCGTCTCTCAATAATAATGAAATGCGTTCAACAGCATCATCATCAATGGATGTTGATGTTCCAAAATTAAATGAACCTTTTGTACCACTTGGTCATACATCAAATACAGAAAAATCAAAACGAACTAATTCTCAATATCGTCTTGATGAAACCTATAATTCGTTATCAACTATGAATAATGTTGTTCAACCACATCGATCATATACAAGTACACATAGTTCGTTCCCTGATGCAGAAATTATGCATAGTAATAGTTTAACTTCATTACAACCAGACACAACGAATAGTAAAGTTCTTATTTTAATTGATGATAATAAAATTCTCATGTTTCTTTTAGTTCCTAAATATCCTGGATTAAGTGCGATTGTCCATTATCATATACGTCCAAGTTCTATTTATTACAATGAATATCCATCAATAACAACAAGTCCTCAACGAATAAAACGTTTTGATGCATCAACTACAACTTTAAATGACAATGATCAAGGACAGCAATGGTATAATACATTAAATAGTGGTTCACCATCATCACCCTCTTGTATTCATCATCATGATGGTTATATTCGACCTTTAACTCCTCAAAAACCCTCATTACAAACAGATACCAATGCATGTCGTGTTGATACTGATGATTCACATGGTAGAAGACCTTTAACACCATCTCGAACATCATATTATGATTCTTCTGAAATTCCCGTAATTTATCGTAGTTCAAAAACAGTTTACACCAAAGATAAACATAGTTATGTTGATGGTGGAGAACTTCGAACATGGAGTATTCAAGATAATAATGATATTGATATTGATATAAATCGAAACCCATCAACATCTATTCAAATTGAATGTATATGTAATGATTATGATATTGTTCTACCGACGATTACAAATGAATATCAAAATAATTCAAGAATTCATGAACCGAAAATAAATCATAATGATGTGCAAGAAGAAAACTATGTCGTTTCATATGAATATGAAAAACAATATCCATATGATGAACAACAATATTCAAATCGATATTCTCGTAAGAAGACAAAAAAAAAAACATCTGAATAATAACTTTTTCTTTTTCGTAGATAATTACTATAATGATAAAAATTCAAGTTTTACAAGACCATCAACTATAATTGAACGAGAAAAAATCTATGATCAATCAACTCGTTCGTATCAAACTACTGAACGTAGACAGGGTAACAATTTAGTAAACTAATATTAAAAAAAAACTTTTTCAACAATCAATTGATGGTACTTCTTTTTTTTTGCGAAAAACATTCATGGATTTTTGCTTCATACATTTATCTATATTTTAATACATATATCATTCTAAAAAAAAAAAACATTAATCTATTTAAATAGTAAAATTTTATGCATTCAAGTCGTAAAGGCTTAATTCTTTTTATCTGAATGATTTTTTATGCACATAAAGAAAGAAAAAAGGAGTGTTAACAAATGTCTCGAATAGTATTACAATCAGTGATTATATGCTTCAGTTAATGATAAGTAAAGGTAAGTTAAAAAAAGAAAAGAAATGAAATCATAAGAATTTCTTTCTTAATATGGTAAATAACTTCAAAACTATTTCTTCATTATATTACAATATTTATCTTAATTAACAAAAAAAAAAAAAAAAAATGTAGTATTATATTATTTTTAGAGCCTATTAATGGAATAACTCATGTTGAAAATTCCGAAGCATCACTTCGACATTATATATTAAAACATTCAAATTCTTATGATGGTCTTGGAATTTTAATATCTGCTGATAATAAAACAGGCTTAAATCCTCGTATTCGTGATATTGAACCCGGATCTCCAGCTTATCAAATTGGATTACGTAAAAATGATCGTATTATTTATATTAATGGTATTAATGTTGAAAATCTTGAATTTAGTGATGTTCTCATACTAATAAAAGAAGGTTTACATAATAATAATCTGCAATTATCAGTTATTAATGAATCCACAAATTTTTGACAGAAAACAACAATTTTAGTTTTCTTTTTTCTAATTGCTATTATGTGTTAAAGAGAGTTGATAAGTATTGCTCTTTTGATTTTGTTTTTTTTTTTAGTATTGCATTGATGTATTTTCCTTTTTTGTGCTTCTTTATATTTTATAATTGCTGCACAATGTAAAAGTGAAAAGAAATATAAAGTTTTATATACACTAGCTAAAATATAATTATGAAAAGTTGTTAGCACTATTACGATGGAATTAAAATGTGAAACACAATGGAACTATTAATATTGTAGGCAAAATTAGAATTCAACTAGACATAAATTTATACAATCGGGTGTTTTAATAAAAGTTGAGGACAATGACAAACGAAGAGAGAAAATTGTGATCGTGACAATCATGTTGAAAAATGAAATAAATATAACGAGTGGGCCATATTGAATGAGTGAGATTTACATGTAAATCTTTCATCATCTAATACATTCTATTGTATTAAAAAAAATACTACAAGGGACAGCGTGAACAGTTCTACAATCTATAATACAAAGCTTATTTTATATGTACATCTTTAATTTTCAAGAGAGATAAATTTCTGTGTGACTATTTTTCAACGCTACGAACAAGATCGTTTTTTAGTACACGATAAATTTCTTTTCTTGTTTGATCAATCAATGAAATACAATTCTTAACGTTATTTTATTGCATCTTATTAGCAACAGCGTCTCGTACATAATAATACAGAACCTTGCAATCGGGACTGTTTAGTGGTCATCTGTTATTGTTTATGAAATATATGAAATTCTCTTCACATCATGCTAATGATTCTTGATTTGAATGCGGTATAGCATTGTCTTGTTTATATATGAAATCATCAATTAGTAGACGTTGACCTTGAGCTTGTGCATGTGAAAGAATAACTTAAACATAATTGTAATGTGATAATGTTTCATCAGGTTTAAATATAATTGGAGACTTGAAACCACTTTTAGAAGCTTCTAAATACACTACAATTCGTTTTTGAATAACATCAGCATGAATAAATGAAAGAAATATCTTATCGAATCAATACCATTTGATCTAAAATCGGCCAATGCATCTTATAGTATATTTTTTTCAATAAAATATATTTAATGATGTAAAAATATAAATATAAACCGTTGCCATTTATTATGGTGCATGCATTGGATTTACGCATTATAATTCAATAAAAAAATGTCTTAATCAGATTCAGCAATTGATGACACTTGTGATTGTAAAAAGAAATGAAATTTTTTTGTGTTAGAGAAAATCTCATTCAAAACAAGGTAGTTGTACAAATATGGATGAAGTAATTAAATTGTTTAGTGGAATGAAACGATATTGTTGAATAAAAAAATTAGTTATTCTACTTAGATTGTAATATTTTGATTGCATGAATTTATCTATTGTCCAGGCAAAACTGGAATTCAAGCTCTGACTGATGAGGTTCTCATCAATATTAGAATTTTAATCTTGCCCATAATATAGAAGATACTCAGTATGCAAGAAGAGCAACTATCGTTTATACTGTTTTCGCAGTATGTTTTGATTTCGTGAATATGCCTTCTATGATCTATAACAGAGAAAAGACATTATTAAGATGTCACCAAGTCTGGAGCTCTAGGCAAGATGTAATGGTACTAGTCGTCACCTATATTTTTCTTTTCGTCTTGTTATGTATACATTTATTAAGGTACGAAGCATCTGATAGTTTTCTGTCTCAAACTCGACATTGAAAATCTATAGTGTCAGATGCAATGCTCTTGAGAAGAGTATGTTGTCTGATCCTCATTTAAATATCATTTGACATGTTGAGGTGAAGATTTGGTATTAATATTAACGAATATAATCTCATTCATTTTTATGAATACAATAGACAAAGCTTATGCACAGAAAACGGTAAATATCGATATTTATCGTACTTAAACAAAACATTTTGATGAAAAACAACATAGTTTATCATAGATTTCTCAATGTTTACAAAATATAATTAAGAAGTTCTTCTTGACATACACTTATCTTCGTTATTGATACTCATCTGATTAACTCTTTCTTCTTCATATATATCGTTATTTCACTATTAAATTTTTTGACTGTTGCCTTCAGTCAAACACTTCTTCTGTTATTCACATTATTCTTTTTCTTTTTTTCTGCATTATTTAGCTACTCATGATCTCCTGCTATTGTGCATGATTTAAAAAAATATATCGGTGAATCTGTATCTACGTTCAAAGCAATTTATCATCATTTTATCATGTGTCACTTGAGATTGTCTTCTGTTGTATCTCAGAGAGCGATGTCTTAATTTCTACTCCTATACTCAATCACTTTTTTTAAGCCGTATTCGACCAAGTAATATTAAATAGAATGTCCCATAAGATAGACAAATGAATTCTATTTATTAGAAAGAATAATCTCTTGTTGAATATTCATATTTTCGGTCAATGTTTTGTATATTATAAAGAAGACACTAGACATGAATAAGACAACCTTTGTTGGTGTAAGCCAAAACAAAAAATTTATTTCTAGGTAGAACTCAGCAAAGCAAAATTTAAACCTTATAATTTTCTCTTTTACTGTCTATAAGTTCAAAATATCTTACTGCTTTATTTTGCGACCTATTTAATGGTTAATATCCTCCCTGTTAGATGCTGAATTAGATATGAACAAGATCAGTTGTTCTAGTTTCAGTCCCAGTCAAAAAAAAAAGAATTCGGTTTCCTTCAGTTTTCCACTTTCTATTGTCATATCAAGCTTATTAAGTCGTTTTTTTAGTTCTTTTGATTTTTTTCTATACCTGATGTAATTTGAGTATTTTTGTTCTTGATCGATCTTTTATTTTTGTTTTTGTCAGAAGGTAACATATGCCGAGAATTGATAACAAAACAGAGTAGGAAGACTAATTGTCCCTAAGTCGAACATAGAATCACAATTATTGTGTTTTGTGTATTGTTGTTGAAGACAGGAGCTTTTGTTACTGCTGCTTCTCTCAATTGTTACACTCAGTAACAATGACAACGATCCTTGAAAATCGTACTATATCTATGATAGTAAGTTTTATTTTAATATTGACATAAACGAGAAAAAATTTTAACTATAATATTAACCTAGCTCACAGTGCCTGATGTGAAAGAACCACTTTCATCAGTATCACATTCGGTTGAAAATCTTAATCAATATTCATTTGCACTTTCGAAAAACTATAAACCTCCATCAATACCTATCTATCATGGATCAATTATTCGTATTGAACAGCATCATGATGAGGAAAATACATCTGATTTAATTGTTCGTGTACCTAATTTTCATCATTTATCATTACCATCAATTAATATTTCAAGTATTCCAACGAATGATGATCAATTAAATGAAACTGATAGTCAACAAGAAACACGTACTAAACGACGTGCGCCAATATGTCCTATTCTTAATGATTCACGTAATCATTCTCCTTCATCAAATCAAAATCAAACAAATGATGTTGATAATTCAAATCAAAATCAACAATCAGAAATAAATTCACGATTGATAAATACAAAACGTTTAACTATTGGTTTACGTAATTTAAGTCGAGCAATTACAACAAGTTGTAAACCAAAATCATCGTCAAATATTAATGAAATAACAATTATACCAGTCCTTCCTGATGTTGAAGTAATAACAGAAAACGTCCAAGTACCAGCATCATCAAAAAAACCAACGAAAAATCAAAATTCAGCATCAAAATTTATAACACCAAAAGTTTTTTTGATTAAAAGAAAACGTTTTAAAATGAAAAAAAAACAACTATCAACAATACCGATTGATACTGAAACTGAAAATACACGTAGTACAATTGAAAACTCATCGACAAATAGTATTTTAAAAGATAACGAAACAGAACAACAAAATGAATCAAAACAAGCAACAACTATTAAACTAAATGATGAAAGTAAACATTTTTTGGTTTCGCTTTGAAAGCTTATTATTTCTCAATTCTTTAGTTGAACAAAAATCTAAAACAAATGACAAACTCAGTCCTAATAGTCCAACATTGGTGTTCGATTCCCTTGGTTCTTCATCAACACATTGTTATTGTGCTATTTCACCATTTCCATCAGATTCTCAAACAACAAGAACAAATAATATTTCATTACCTATTGAAACAACAACAACAAATATTCTTCTATCTAATACATTGATACCTAAAGAAAAAAATGATTTAACAGCAGATCATGTACAATCATTAGTTCATAAAGATAGTGAACAAATACAAGATCATGATGACAAGATCGAAGAAAGATTATATATTGTTCATCCAAATGGTGATATGTATTCTGAATGTTATGAAGTTACTTATGAATTAGACCCAGAATATCAAAATCGCTTAAATAATGAACAAGAACAAATTCATCTTCCAAAAGTTGAAGGTTAAAAATCTTTAGAAATGTTTTAAATTGAATTATATCTTTCTTTTTTCTTTTAGATCAGTCTTCAGTTAAAGTCAATCTTGATCCATTTCAATATCAAGATCTAACATTAGCATTAAGTAATTGGTCACCTATTTTTTCTAAAATTACTTCAAATGACTCTAATCAAATCGAAGATGATAAGATCGATCAAGCATTTCCAAAATCACATGAAAATATCAATATTGAAAATTTAGAACCAATTCCAGAAGAATCAAAACTCACAATGATTAATACAACACGAATAAAATTTCAGTCACCTGAAAATATACCACAAATCAGCAATGATCAATCACCAAGTATAAACCTTCACTATTACATTTTTCTAGTTTATTTCTGAATTTTAGCTGATCAACCTGAATCAGTTTCTATTTTCTCAACTTTACAAGAAAATGATCAAATTTTATCTCTTAACGATACATCAATTGTTAATGAAGAGTATACTATAATTTTAAAAATTCTTAAACATGTCTTACAAATTGATCAACTTTTGCAAACAGACACAACGAACGAGTTAGAACAACAATAAAATTAAAAAAAAAATTCGAAATAGAAATGCTATCCACATACGCTTATTCTAGTAGTCATAGTATCAATAGAATTACAACTTTTATTTTTCATTCATTATTGCTAGAAAAAACAAAACACTAAATTAACAGATGCGCAAAAAAAAGTCTATTCTTCTATCGAACTCTTTGTGAAATTTAATCAGACCTTATCAATTTAATGATTGCTTTTCAAAGTAATACACAGAACAAATATGATGACTATGAAATCAAGGCTTCAGTGCTATCATATATTCATGTATTTATCGTAGCAGACTTAAACGAGCAAGAAGTGTATATTGCGATAGTATCATTAGAATATAATATTTTCAGTACATATTCAGTTGAATAACACATATTTTATTCTATAAAAAAAAACCAACCAATGATACAGCAGACATTAATTAGTGGAAAGTGTGAAGAGATGCGTTTTATTTTTTTTTGATTTCATAAACTTGCATTTTTTTCCTGAAGATGAAAATTTTTGAGTATTATCATGATTAACGCAAGCATTCATATGTCACAATTAAAAACAAAAAGTACGGATCGATAATCAATAGAAGCTACACTCTTGTTTGTAAATTTTATACGAAATATCTATAAGCCAAAGTCTCTAAGATAATTTTGAAATTGATATTATACAATTCATTATATTATCACCCACGGCGGAATTACTCGAACTGAAACTAGACATTGGAGAATTACAACCGTTTTGGTGAATTTTCGATCAAATTTAGGTAGTTACTAAACGATCAAATCATGGAACTACGACCTGAAATTTTATCCATAGATAGGTTTTATTGTACTTAGAATATCTTGACAGTTTCAGTCACAAAAGAATGTATCTTTGTCAAGATAATGAATGTTCAACAAATAGTCGTTTGCCACAGGCATGCCACTGAAATCAAGCTTAGTTGAAAGTTCACTATCTCGACAAAAAAGTATTTGTCTTCAGCAAAAAATCTCAGACTCATGAGATTTATCTGTGAACAAAATTTCAGGTTAAAACTTCATTATTTGATTTTTGAGTAAATACCTGAATCTCAATCGAAAATTTAATAAAACGGTCATAACTCGGCTCTACAGAACTATGGGATAAATCCTTTTAGGACTTTCTAACTTTACCAAGACCTCTCTGTAAACCAAATATGAGCTCAAACGATGTATATCAGTTCGAATAGTCCTCTCGTAAGAAGTTTAACATTTAATAAAAATTAACTAATGTTTTCATACATTATTTCATTTTGAAAAATAACTTAAAAGAGTACAAATAAATAATTCTAATGAGGTAAATAAAGATGATCCGTCTGATACAAGATGGTCTTCAGTAACAGTTGTTGTTATTAATGAACATGGTGAAACAATATGAAAGATTTGATCAACAATATGTGGTACATAGAAGTGAGATTTTATATCAGTGCGAACAAAATGGCGACCAAAAAGAGGAAAAATAAACATTGTATTATAAAAGGATGTACAATTCGTGTGAATTCTTTTTTGTATTAAATCTACTAATTATATTCATAGAATTAATAAATAACTCTAAAAGAGATAGATGCTTTATGTTAATTGAACAAGTACGAAGAATAGAGCTTAAATATTTATCTTTTGTTTTTGAATGAAATCGTAGTATGCTTTAATAAACTTTGTAAACAGCATCGGAAGTAATTATCTATCTCATTTGAATACTTGTGATGATTTTTTGTAAATATATTTCTTTCTTTTCGATTTCAGCATGGTTACTGAATAAAATCTTTTTCATATATAATGATTTAGAATATTACCGTCTGTGTCATTCAAAATGCATTACTTTTGTCAAATTTTCAAATCTAGTTTTTTAGAACTTTCTTTTCCATGTTACACACCAAAATCCAAATGTTAGATTTGCCAATAAATATCAAACAATGTAATAGAGTTTCAAATATTGACAAACATGGATGAACTTCATTGTGTTTTGACATTACAGACCAATGACGAAACTTTGGTCTTTATTATTTGTTTCTTGACATCGATATGTTTTTTTTAAAAGTGCCATAAAAATTTCTTTTCGAATTTTTCCGAAGCATCTTAGGATTCGGTATCGACTATTTAGCAATATCAAATTTAGCCTGCGAATTTCTCTCCATGTATGTGCAAAAGAACAACGTTTAGTTCCACAAGACCAGAACTATCGTGTGCAATCTAGTTGGAGATATGAATAATTTCAATTGAGCTGATTGTGTTTTAGATAGTTATAGTTAATCTTTGTTTGACACATGAGTCTACAATGTAATACGAAAAACAATTTATTCAGATTTTCTTTTCTTTTAACTCGTAACTCTCCTCTTCAGTTCGTCCATATCGTGTTCTTCATGTTTAAAACTGAAAATACTTTCAAAACTGCAGTATAATAATTTCAAAGTAAATCTTTTTCCAAATATGCAGGTGCGATAAGATTATTTCTCTACCTTATTTAATATCAGTTCTTTATTATTTGTGCTGTAGTATTAAAAACTTTGAGAAAAAAACCGTAATATATAAGGTCATCTTATATTTGTCATTCTCAAGCTTTTCTAATTTTTGAAAATTGAAAAATATATGTTTGAAAATGAAGCAAATTTTCTTGTTTCCCATACTTTATAAGTTTATGAGCGAAAATAAAAGTACACTAACGTTATAGTGTATAGAAAATTAAAAAAAACATGTTTGGACAGTAATTACTCACTCTGGTTGTTACTCTCTTTATTCTGCAATCAACTAATCGTCAAAAAATCAAGACACCTGCATCATGTGGTGGTTTCGATTATACACGCTCAAATCATTTTCGTTGTGTTGTATTAAAAGGTATGCTAAGCAATGTATATTTCTCTAATTTGGTGAAATATTATTCAACATGTGGTCAATCCAAATCAACATGTGACAATTAATTTCATGGATGTTTAGAAAAAATCTGTGATGGTCCGTTGTAAGCAAACAAACCTGGCTGCCATGTAAGCATTGCATGGACATGGGAATGCAGCACGAATATATTAACTTATGTTTTCAAGTTAATTTAGAACCACAAGAAGAATATAATTGATTACAAAAACAATGTGTTGAGCATTAAACTGTGTTGACAATTTTTTAAAAGTCTATCGCTTTCAGCGCAAAACATTCAATAAAATACAAACACATTCGTCTTTGCAGTGTAAATCTTTGACTCTTCTCTGTATCTCACTTTTATAGACTTTATAAAAATGGCAACGTAATCTACGCTCAGTGAATATTTGACTCATAATCAAGAGAATTTATATTTCACTAAAAGATTAACTTTTTGTATTTACAGTTGCTTACTTACGAAAAAGTTGATTAGAGCGATATATGAATGTTCTCTATAGAAAGCATCACTTTTCCTATTCATTTTTTCATTTGAGTCTAATTTTCAAAGTAAGTATGAAAAATTGAGCGCATCAAGTAAACATCAAAGTTGTTCGACTTTCCTAAATTCTTCAGCGATGTAGAATAGACATAATGATCCGTTCATCTAATAACAAGGATAGTTTTAATCAGACTAATAAAAAAAAAAAACTTCGACAAAGCATTGCTTTCTTTAAAGTAGAGTGAGACACAAAAAATGGATGTAAACAGTACATATAGGGCACTGCCTGCCACAAAGATGTGGAGATGAGCAGACGGCTAAAATATTATTTAGAAATTTCAAAATCGACTGCTTTTGACAAAACTCGAATGCACGGAACATAACAAGTGCACAGGATTAAGACTGTCATATTCTTATTGCTGTTATCAATTAGTAAGTGGTAAATGCTACTGCTCACCACTGCCTACTTTCGAGGTGAGAGTTAGGTGATATTTTCAGATAAACGGTTTATATTTAGCTGAAGATAAGCTATATAAGTCGCATTACTTTTCGTTCCCAGCAATATCCTGAATGACTTTTTTGGGTCATAAGTAGCTTATTCCAAGAAAATTATTAAATCTTTTAAACCTCGACCAAACGTTTTTGGAATCAACGAATTTGAATCTATCATCCATTTTCTAAAATCATGTTTTTCATTTTTTCACTAAAGAAAGGTTATTTTGGAAAAGTAACGATTTTCTATAAAGTTTAACCAAAGATTTTGAATATCGAGAAATCCGATTCTGTAATCTGTGTCTGGATTTCGCCTACTTGGTTTTTTTTACGTAAGAAAGGCTACTTAGGGAAAGTAACAATTGCTCCATGAAGTATGATTAAAGGTTCTCAAAGATGAAAGAAATTTGAACGATAAATCAAGTACATAATTCTCACAAGCCGATTAGAGATCCGAATCCTTCGACCTTCAAAACCTTTGATTACTTTTTATAAGATTTAGTTATTTTTTGGAATAATCCACTTCTAATCCAACAAAAATCACAAAAAAACATCTGCGAGAAGCATCAGTAATGAACTTATATAGCCTGTTTTCAGCTAAATTTAAACTATTTAGTTACCAGTATCACCTACTGCTAATATGGTAAGTGAAAATGATTAGAATAGAACGATTAATAACCAACGAATAAACTAACCATTCATAGTTGTTAAATCAATAGTTTTTTTTACTATAAAACCAGTTACTGCTACCATGGTAAGTGAAAGTACAAGTAAGAGTAAGTGTAACAATCCTGATGATGACGCCTGGTATAAATAGAGGTAGAAATATTAGATTTTACTGATTTATTGAATAACAAACATAGACATGTATTTTCCTTTCAACTACATATCGTCTATTTGTATTTATCATGATCACTGAACTCAACATCAAGTTTTAAAATTCGTATCAAAAAGATAAACTGATTAGTTTATATAATCTTTAGAACACAATTCAATCATTCCATTTGTTTCTTGAATATTTAAATGAAAGTTAACAGTTAATTATTGAGAAAATGCTAGACAATCTTTGCTATTGTTTCTTGTGTTGATCAAGATACTCATTTTACAACTGTTTGATTAAGTAATTCAAGTCAGTGATTGAGAATTAATTATCAAACAATATCAAGAAATAAGAAAACAGATACGATTATCTATTTCTGATCTTTTGGCAATGATTGAAATTTTCATGCTTTATTCACTGTCACAGTTATTATCCGGTGCATTATCATAAATATGAACATGATTTCATCATCAATATTTTTCCTTGGATTCATACAACAACAGAGTACAGTATTAACTCATCATATTTCGAAAAGATTCATACATAATACGTTAAGAGTCAAAAAGTAATAAGCAGTTTATGATAGATTATCAAATGACAACGTTGGATATTCAAACAGAGATGAGGCAAACAATAACGAATGTTTTAGATTTTCGAAGAGAGCTATGATATGTGCATACACACACATTTCTAATATAAGCTTTCAGGGATTTTTCATTGGTAAGTTCATCACTATTATAAAAAAAATCAGATCTGTCTTCTAATGTTTCAAAAATGTCAAAATGTTGTGTCATCTAAGAAAAAGAAAAACCATATCATTCAATCATTTTGCATTTTGATGACCGATAGCACGTTAAATGCTTACGTGTAACATAGCGAAATGCTATCGTTTGTGTAACATTGAACAGTTCGAGCAAAGTCAAATTTGAATAATCACTAGCAAGAAAAATATGTTCTATAGATGTAATTTCGAGAGTGAGATTTTTGATACAGAGATGCCATCGAAGAAATATAGAAGTCATCAGTGATTGATGATGCTCTCATAAAAATGAGAATGTTAGTAAATCCATCATCTTGTACTGAAATATCAAGTCTTTTATTATTATTTCCAAATAACGCATGGAGAAAACCAATATTGTCTAGTTTCATCAAGATGATCATCAATATTTCACTAGGCACATCAAGAAGACGAATTCATATCTGATTGTGGCTGTCATCCTTCTAAAAAAATATACACATATAGACACAAGGACCCTAAATATCATAATCACACAATGAATCCAAATAACCCGGTTAATGGTCAAACTGAATTAAAAAATTTTCTCTTTCTATTTAAACTAGAAGACTAGTGAGTTTTGATTCCTAAAGATTAAGTTCATCATGAATGAAGAAAATGCCACACTTTCTGTTATAGTTTAAAAATTAGGCTTTTTTTCAATATCCCCGACAATATGAACTGGTTTGCTTTGGATATCTACTAGAACTTCTACTGTTATAATGGACTTTAAATCTTTATCGTAACTTTATAAAGACTTATTTTCAAATATTCTTTTGAAAATAAAACAAGTGAGTCAATAGTAATGTTAAAATGAATTATAGAATGGTCTAACACACTCGTTTTCATGGTTAGTAAGGTTTTCGAAGAGATACGAATGATTCACTGTGGAAAAATACACCAATGGTTTAATCATTATAAACTTTGTCAAGCAAAGAAAAGAATTAAAAAACAATAATCAAAGATCTATATGTTCTGATATCCATAATAATGAAACCAATTCAAAATAACAGAAAAAAAACGGTACATCTTTTTGGTGACATCGAAAAAAAAGCCTAATTTTTAATTCAAATAGAAAAAATATTCTTGAATAAGCTTGATCAATAGTGAAAATATTTGTATTTATTAAATGATCATGAATTTTGGAACACTTTGAACGAGGGAGAAACAACGAACTTCAAGAGACTTCCTAAACTTTATGGAACTTCACAACTAAAGTCTGTTGTTTTTCTATCACATCAAATATTATTATGATGAAACCATCTAAATATATAATTCTTGTTCCATTCCTATCGAAAAAGAAATGCTTCTTGATAGATGTCAGTAGTTCGTAAACGTTCTTATGCTCCACCATATAAATGTTAAAAAAACGTCTTATTGGAACCAATCATATCATCCGACAAAGATTCCTCCAACATCCATATTCTTTCTGATCCGTTGTTTTCAAAAAAAAAAGAAAAATTTATAAGCATATCATCGACTATGGCTAAAATTTTCATTTGTAATATCTAATTAAACAGTAATACAACAGTATCTATTCAAGACAACTATTCAACTTCAAAATATAATGTTAAATATCCATAATTTTGTTAATATTCTATTAGTCAATTTCTTCTTTTCGTATTATTTATTTATGGAATATATCTTATAAATGTTTTCTACCATTTGAATATTGCGAATATAGACCAAGTAAAGCCATTCAAATTCTACTTTACTTTTAGGTATTTTTAAAACTCTTAAATCTTCAATAATGTCATATATGATTTCAATCTACATGATATGATTGATTAAATCAAATATAAACTACATTAGATTATAATAATAATGAGAAAAGTAGCATCGAATAGTTTAGAATAAAATAGAGCAAAATTTCTTTTATTGCAATTAGATAAAAAATATTTTTCTCAAAATCAGTCAATGATGAATTGACCGAAAAAAAAAATCATAATCCAATTAAAATACTTACTGATTTTTATTTCAGATATTTTCTCTTCTATATTAGCAGAAACGAACAATGGCCAAAAGCAAAAATCATACTAATCATAATCAAAGTATATAATATATATATATATATTTTTAAAATTCATAATAAATTTGTTTTTCATTTATTTTCTTCATTAGATCGAAAGGATCATCGTAATGGAATTAAGCGGCCAAAATCTGAACGATTTCCATCATTAACTGGAGTATGTAAAACAGAAAATTACGAGAAAATATTTCATATGTATTCTTATTGTTTATAATTACAGGTTGATTCAAAGTATGTTCGTAATTTAAAATTTACCAAACATCATAATCATGTTGCACGTAAAAATTTACGTAAATCACGAAAAGCTAAATTAGCTAGTGCTGAAGGTTCAACAAGTAAAACAGTTAGACGTGGACCTGCTCGTCAAACAGAACAAAAAACATCAGTATGGTCACTTTCATCAGTATTAAAAAATATTACAACTTATTTTACTGGAGAAACAACAGTACAACCAACAAAAAAACGTACACATTCAAAAAGAAAATCAACTAAATCTGCTACTAGTTCAACAACAACCGCAAAAAAATAAAATTTTAGTTGTTTTTGTTTTAAAGTGTTATCATTCCTTTGATATTGTTAACATCATAATGAAAAGAAAAGCAAAAAGAAGTTGATAGTAAAGACAACAAATAAATAAAGAAAATGGACTTTTTTTTTTCGAATACATTTTACAATTTTCTTTTTATCATGATATAAAATGAATGAATAAGATGCTATTTTCCATATAAGTCAGTCTTTCATAAAGATAATACATCACACTTCAATTTTCATTTTTAATCAGAGACGAAATGTGATCCTAAAAATGAAAGAAATCATCATTTTCTTATTTCAATTGTTAATAATATCAGCAAAACATATGTTGATTATCCAAATTAAAACAGTTATCAACAAAAAGAACATTGTAAAATTGATAACAATGAATTCCAACTAATCCACTTAGATACAAATAAGTAAACAGAATATGTAATTTATGGATCTATCGACTAACATGTTCGAGATACCAGCAACATATTTAATCAATTTGATCATTTTATAGTACTTATTTATAATAATCTATTAAACCATTCCTACCAAATAGCATGAAGATCATATGTTTGTTATCATTTATAATCATGCAACAAGCTATCATAATAGCAGACGAGAAACATTTACAATATCTTTCAATGGTAACTTTCACATTTTCATAACTCAAACGAATAAACAGCGATTAGGTTTCGAATTATGCGTCTATGACAAACAAATTATTATTTCAGATAGACACGTTTCATATCGTAATGACAAAGAAGTAAACTCAATGGTTTTGTTAGAAATCAAGGTTCGTAACATGCTAATTGAAAAATACTACATAAGTAAAGAACATCTGCATACCCAACTGATGCACTACTACAAACTGTTCGTCAAAAAAAAGTGTATTTTATATGTGATGAAACAACTCTTGGTTCGAAAGGCTATAACACATGCAGAAGTTTCACCGAAAACACGCTATTGAATGTTTTACAGGTAAATCAATTTAAACCTTTCACAGCAGAGTTTTTTTTTTTAGCTAAGAAATCTATTTCTGTTTAGTACAAATTAGTCCTTATGACAATCCATAGATGCTGCCAACCAGAAATTTTCAATCTTCTTCGGGTCGACTGAACTCCATTGAATCTAATAAGAACTGGCCGGATTTCATTATTCTCGGATGGCTGTCAACAAAGCCCAAGATGGTGTCATCGTCTCTTCGTCAAAATTCCAGAATCGAATGACTCTTAGAAGGTTCGACTGTTTGCATCCAACCCACGATCTCATTGTTAAATATATAGATAGAGCATGTCTTTGGGTTACAGCACATAAATTTATGAGTTAAATTCTATCGTTTGAAGTCCAACCAACGGGTTGACTCATCTATGGTCTGAAATAGTTTTTTTTTCAATCTGTCGTTTATGGTCTGAATGGAAGTTCATTATCGATTGAAATTCTTGTATGATCCAATCCCGGCTTGATTCAAAACTGAATCAAATCAACTCAGGCGTCATCTCTGTTGCAATTTATATTAAAAGAACTACGCTTAGAAGCTTAAGAGACGTTTTCCATTGATAGAAATTCGATTATTTAATGACATCAACCTTCGATAGCACAGTTTTTATTTAATTTGCTACAAAATTTTCATTATTCTCAATCTCTCTCTCGCTTTCATCATAGTAGGCAGATCTCCTTACATACTAATATCCAATTTCACTCCGAGTCCGATTTATTGTCTGCATTTAAAGAAAAATGCCATCGTTCCATATTTGGGAGATCCAGTACGAAATCATTTAACAAAAAACACTAACTACTATCTTACGATGCTAGTGCATCTTTTAATCTGCTCTTTCGGTTTTCGACCAACGCCTATCAAATTATATTAATAGTACATATTGCTTAAGAAACCACAAAAACAAGTAAATGGTTGACAGAATTAAAGTATTATAATTTGTGATTAAAATTTTATGAGAAAATGAAACTTTCTAAGGAATATAGTTTCTGTTTATGAAATGACTATTTGAGCTCGGGTAATAATCAAAGATTCTTCGCAATGTGTAATCATTGTATAAGAGATTCATTTTCTAGAAATCACAAAAAGTAAAGTTTCCATTAATGCTTATTCATTAGCTAATAACAATGGCATGATCGTTTTGAATTAAAAGAAAAAGTGAATTTTATACAATTCAACAGTAGGTATCATGGCTTTTCGATATATCTGTGCAGTACTGATATAAATATACTATATTTCTAGCATTTTTGATTAAAATACTTTTGTTTCATCATTACAAATTAAACAAAAATTATAAAATATGATCTGTAAAAAAATTCCAATAATACAGATAATTTCATAATTTTTATAAAAGGAATATTCTAGACGAAAAACTGTAAAAATTTTAAAAAAAGACGCATTCACATGCGAAATTAAGTCAGTTTATCTGTAAAGAACTCTCAGACGAGAATAATTAAAAAAGATTCATGTTAAGAATTTGATCTTGAATTTATTTATTAAATTCACTCTTATATGCATGAGTCGATTGTTTTCAGATAAATATCTATTTTTCTAGTCTTTCAATCGATGAGCTTAGGTGTACTTTATTGATATGATAATCTTCTGCATCAGAAGTCTCAATGAACACCTATAGACTGAATCTTGAATAAAATATAAAAGTTTTCAAAAGATGTTGCGTATTTCTACCAAATTTGTTTTCTCAAAATATATCACACAATTCTTCCATTGACTAAAATATTTCTGCAATGAACAGCAAATATAGATAGCAACAGATAAAAGTGTCGTCACCTTAAAAAACTTTCTTTATATTCAACCAAATGTCCTTGCCTAGGTGTCTCCTTCGTTCATCATCAATTTTTATTAAGACTTTTTTCTTCAACTATCGCTGTTAGTTCATTAGAACATACAAAATAGTTTATATCCGAATGAACCATATTTCTTTTGAAACAACGACTATCGACATATGCTAATATTAAAATTGAAAAAGAAAACATTTCTTGATGTGTAAAAATTTTTGGTTTTTCAACGAAAAAAACAGAAAATACTGACCCACCCGAAGTTTCAAATTGCTTCTTTGAAGGAGAAAGTCTAGATAATAGCAAAAACAACAATAGTCGGAGGATGTTGTTCTGAAACATCGAACTATAGTAGAGACAATGCGATGTTAAATATCATTTGATATATTTATGGCAAAACAAACAAATTTGAGATGATTGATAAAATAATCTGTTATTTTTTTAAACAAATCTTGTGATTATAACAATTAATAGTTCAAATTTAGTTTTCGAAAGATATTTGTAGAAATAATAAACATCATTACTTTTTTGTATGCGAAAAAATGTTTTTATGCGATTATATAAGCATTCTTTACAATAACACGTACGAAATCGATTAAATAATAGAAAAAACAAAGTCATACCTCTGTCTCACCTGATATTAACCCTTTGGTCACCAACTACGCATATATGCGTCACGAAGCATGATCACTGTGTGAAACTAACACAATCATTTATAATGCGTATTTTTTTTATATACATTCACATAAAAAACAAACGTCAAGTAATAGCAGATTGTATATTATCCTTTTGTTATTAGTACACAGTACAGTCGAACTATAAGCTGTTATTACGATTTTTGTAAACAATTGCTTTTCCTCTTTTAAGTCGGTAACCAAAGGATTAAGTAATATGATGACCCGATAAAAAATTTATTTATCTGGTTTTTCGAACAAGTGACACATTGTCTTTTCTTATTTGTATATTAAAAATTGTAATTTATTCTTTCTGTGCGTTGGACGATGTAGATTAGTAAAAAAAAACGTAAAACTTCCTTATGCATGACAATCACAACAGAGCACAGAACCCTATGAGAATTTTCACAAATAATTGACTCTTTTTGGGTTTCGACACAAAAAAACACAATATTCATTAGAATTATATGTTGAATGTTTTTCCTGAATGAATATTCCTCATCTACTAACTCCACATAAAATTTCATATATTTTCATATACTATTAGCAATTGTTTAATTAAAACTAATCTCAGGTAGCAGATGTCAATGGTAATAATTCAAAGTAGGTTATTTTTCAAGGAAAATAATTTATGCATCATGTTGTATTCAATGAACACAAGATTTTCATTACTTTAAAAAATTTTTCGTTCACTACATTGTACTCCCCATATGAATCATTGTCCATTTTTATATTAAAATATTTCCAATAGAGAAGAAATTAATTCGAAATTTGGTCAGAATTGAACCGATGTCATTTCTAAAATATATGTAAACAGTCCTATCGAATAAAAATCTCAAGTTCATTTAGTACACAATGAAAATCCAAATTTTCAAATAGAAAATCCGATCTTAACACAAGTTAGAAATGATTTACAACGATGAATAAATAGTTTCTACTTGACATATCATTATAAAGCCAAATTGGTCAAGTAATTAAATAGTCAAGATGAACTCGTCAATAAATTCTACGGATGAGTTTTGAATAGATCAGCTATGAAATTTACTTTAGTTTCAAAGTAATCAACTGCAAAAGTCATTGAAAAATTGGATGTAACAAAAAGTCAATTTTATCCAAAATATCAATTGAAACCTATGTTCTGTGTTGTCTAAAAAGAAACTATTTTATACAATCAGCATATACTTATTATTTCAAAAATAAAATAGCTGTTTTGTTTTTCTAAAAAATAATTATTTCAATAATTTTTCACAATCCCATTTAAGAAAAGCTATAAGTAAAATAAATTTATGTGATTGCTTTTCATTATGCTTATTTTTAATAATTGGTCTGAGACGATATTCTTTAATCGATGCGGGTATTAAAAATGTTTCTATATAATTGTATTGTCGTATTTCTTTATGTTGATTATTATCAATTGAATTAAACTCTATTTCAATAGCATCACCTTGAACTAACATACATAAATGAAAACGATTTTCAGTTGATCGTATAATTTCAATATTTTCATTTGGTTCAATAATAAGACGTTTTACATCATAAAAAT